CCCCAAAACCCCAAAACCCCAAAACCCCAAAACCCCTGTTGGATATTATCTGATTGAAATATTATGAAAGTCATTAGAAGTATTATCAACCTTCTAAATTCAATCCTATTTCTTGTGTTTTTCTTTCAGATGAGCTCAAACCAAAATAAAAACTACTGATCCAAATCCTAAAGCTAATCCAGCGTATTGCATCATGTTTGGATATCTTCCAAACAAGATCAAGTCAAATGCTGTTTGGAATAAAGTCTTCATTTCTATCAATCAATTCACAACACCTGCTCTTCCTCTCACAGTTGCATATGCAGCAAGGTAACCTCCAAAACTATAAAAAATTCCACCAAGAGTGCCGATGAATAACTCGAACAGAGTAAATCTAAATCCTTGCAGGTAAAGCACCACCAAATAACCTATCAACAAAATCTCAATGAAAGTAATTGCAAAGTTATAGAGCACTGAAGGATCAACCTCTTCAGCATCTCCAAAGAAATACTTCAGCAATGCTCCTCTCACAGAATGTGAGAAGGAGAAGAGTACTATGATTCCTCAGCTCAGAGCTATATAGAATGACTGGGGCTTTCCATCAGCATGCGGATCTTCTGATTGCCCAATTTGGGTGTCCTCGCCTGAAAACACGATAGTGAGGACAGCTCCAATCATTACAGCTATTGCAATGAATTCATAGTTCCTTATGATTTGGTTGAACAAAATATAGAAAATAATCGATGTGAACAACACTCTTAATACAGTAAGAGAAGCCAATACTCCACTATTGAGGTTACCAACTTCAGCGTAGTGGAAAGCTAATACAAATGTAACATGATTTCATAGATGAGCAAAAATTATAAAAGCAGTCCCTGCTATTCTTCGATAGTGAAGTTTAGATTCCCATTTATTTGGAATTATCCTCCCTTCATTATCTTTGGAGCGCATATAGTAAATGTCATAAAACCATTTGAACCAAGGCGGGTTTGGAATGGAAGGATCAAGAAGAGATTCTTTCCTATGTTTTAATTTTTGACGAAACATTATATCCAAACCAACGGCCCTAAATTGCCCACAGTAGCCCCAATCGCAGTCATCCCTACCGCCTTCACCTTATACTTAGCATTCTCCACAATACAAATATTAGCTCATGCATAAAGTACCCCTACACACAAAGACACAGTCATCCACACCTTTGCACTCACTTCCTCTCCTTTCTCTTCCTTCTTTTGGCTGCTTAAGACTTCCTCCTCGTGGCTTATTTCTAAAGATAGTTCTACTTCTTCAGCCATTTATATTAAAATAATGTGAAATCCAAAAGTAGAATCTAAAAAGGGGTTTTGGGGTTTTGGGGTTTTGGGG